TTCACAGGTACAGACATTAGAAAGGAAGAGAGGATTTAATACAAACACACACACACACGCACACACACACACACAAAACCCCCCAAAAACCCACCCAAAATATTAGTATTTTTGGTGGTGTTTTTCTTAGTTACATTATATATTGTTGCTTTAATAAAACCATACTACAAGCAAGTGATTTAAATAATAAAATATGTGCTTATTTTCTCATAGGCTAAAAGTCAAAATCAAGACAAGGTCAAGGGGAAATGTTTATCCTCAATGATAAGTGAAAGAGTCCTTTGGTGTTCCCAAGCAATGCTTCGGAATATTGCCCTACCATCCAACTATATGCATTATTCTATGATTTTTTTCTAGTGTTGAGCTGCTAACCAAAATTATGGAGGTTTAAATCCACCAGTACTGCACAGAAAAGTTAATATTAGTCTTGAAAATCATATCAGGTAGTTCTAGTGGTAAAAAGCTGTAGCTGTACTGTAGTCCCAAAGGCTGGTAGTTTGAATCCACCAGCTGCTCTGAGGGAAAAGATGAGGGATCTCCTCCACTGTGATAAACTGCCTCTGTAAACCCACAGAACAACAACAATGGGTCGGTTCTGTCTGCAGTACACAACAACAGCACAAAAACAGGGTGGTTATGAGTCTAAAATCAATTTGATGGGGTAATTGTGTATGTAGTAATTAATATCAATAAGGAGACCTATTAACTTAATGTATAATGTTTATCATGTTTATCGCATTGGTAAAAAAAAAAAAAAAGGATCCAAGACCTGCGTATCAGATCCTGTTTGCCCACACAGAGGCTTCCCACTCAAGCTTATGGTAAATGAGATCAGTTACAGTTAATCAGCTTACACTTGATTGCTAACACAATTCAGATATGTCCAAATAGTTTATCCCAGTTTTCAAGTAAATCACAAACGCCCATCAGGACCCAACTTTGCCAAGCTAAAAGACTCACTCACAAAACTAGACCAAATTTTAAATATCAAGGCCTGCCCATCAGATTCTGTATTCTGATGTATTCTGTCTCCATACCTCTTCAACCTATATGATGAGCAAATTGTCTGAGAAGCTGGACTCTGTGAAAAGGAGTGTGGCATCAGGATTGAAGAGAGACTCATTAATTACCTGCAGATGACACCATCTTGCTTGCTGAAACTGAGGAGGATTTGAAGCACTTGTTGCAGAAGAACAAGGACTGCAGCCTTCAGTATGGAATGTGTCTCAATATCAAGAAAACAAAGATTCTTACCACTGGACCAATAGGCAGTGTCCTGATATAGGGAGAGGAGTTTGAAAATGTCAACAACTTCATCTTGCTTGGATCCACAATTAACACCCTTGGTGCAAGCAGTCAGAAAATAAGGAGATGCATTGCAATGGGAAAATCTACAGTTAGGGACCTTTCAAAATTATTGAGTAGTAGTGATGTCAGTTTGAAGACTATGGTGCATCTGATTCAGACCATATTATTTCTGATTACTAGCTATGCATTTGAAACCTGGACAGTGAATAAAGATGACTGAAAAATAATTGATGCCTTTGAGCTGTGGTGCTGGAGAAAAGCACTGAACATTCCATGGACAGCCGAGAAAATTAATAAATAGGTCTAAGAGAAGGTGCAGCCAGAGTGCTTTTTGGAGGCAAGAATGATATGGCTTCACCTCACATATCTGGGCATGTTGCTAGAAGGTGCCATTCCTTGGAGAAGGACATGATGTTGGGAAGGGTGGAGACTAAGCAAAGGAGAGGAAGGCCCTCAACCAGGTGGATTGACAAGGTGACTACTGCAACGGACTCTTGGGTGTCAGGAAGTGTGAGGATGGCACAGGACAGGAAGGGTTTCAGATCTTTTGTTCATAGGGTCACTATGAGTTGTACTAGACTTGATGGCACCTAACAACAACAACATACCAGATAATCTGAACAAGAAAAAGGAATAGTCGTCTACTATCGAGATCTGTATTGTTAGAAGGCCATGAAGGGACACCTTGAATTGCAGTCCGTAAGACAATGGTGGGTTTGGTTTGTTTTTTAAATAACATAAACCAAAAATCCATATTCAATCAGGGTCAAACCCATAGGTGCCAAGGATAGGATGTCAACATAACTTTATGAGGGATAAAATGTAATCCATCACAGTGGTCAAGAAGGAAAAAATATTAATATAAAATATAGACATATTTCTGATAATAAATTTTTTCCATTATTTTACCTTTAAAAAGTATCTAAGTACAGCTAACCTAAAGATTACAATAAAACGTATCATGATTTTTTTTAGAATCTTTTATAACAACTTTTTTTTTGTTTTAGTCTGATTATTCTCAGTGGAAATGTGATGGCACCATACCTTGAAATTATTTCTGGTATCATTATGTATGTTGCTATTGTTAAGTGCCATCAAGTTGTAGACGACTCAAAGAGACCCTATGAACAAAATACCTGAACACCTGTATAACTTTCATCCTTTCTCCAGTTCATAGCGTTTCAGGAGGCAAGCTATTTTGGAAGTGGATGCCACTCCTGCTTCAAGCTTGCTTTAATTGGGGAGCTCTACGAAACACTGTCCACCATGGATAAACATTCTCACATTCAACACATCACTGAACACAGTGTTCAGCTTCACAGCAACCAGAAGTTACCTCTGTACAGCAAGTGGACAGACCAGTGCTATCATTATATATAGAATTATGTAGAAGAATAAAATTGTGACTGGAAAAATATCAAATTGTAATGTAGAAATAATTTTAATAAAATACTCTTTAAATTGCATAAATTAATTGAAATTGCATAAATTAATTGATAACTATCATAATACACAGAATTCCATTGAAATAAGAAATGAGCTTTATGGAATTAACAGCTCCAGAATATCTTGTGATTATGTTAGCGATATTTCTCATTTTAAAGTGTCATAGAAAAGAAATAATGTTGATACTCATCCTCTGAACAACATTTTCACAATACACTAGTGATTCATAAGATATCATATAACAGTAATGACAATTGTAGCTCACAGTGAAACAGCAATGAAAAATGTAGCTCACATTGAAAAGAATGCAATGCAATAAAGAAGACAAGTAACAAATCCTAAAGTATGTGTTGGGTAATAAAACAATATTGCAAGTGTTTAAAGAAATAATATTTATAAAAATTAAATTATAAAAAATGCAGCAATCCCAAAGACATGCAGTACAGAACCACCAGCTGCTGAGGAGGATTAATTGACTGTGAAAACCCTATGAAAGGTCAGTTATGAGTCAGCTTCGACTCAACAGCACACAACAATAACAATATTCTATTTGTGGAATTATGCAAATGACTACCACATTCAGTTATCAATGAGGTGATTTTAAATCCAAAATTCTATTTTATTAATGAAGCATTACATGTTTTTATGCTATCATTTTATGAAAATTTTTAGATTCATTATAAATTAATCTTATCAATGTTATATTCATATGAATTCTTTATTTTTAATAAAAGGCTGATCAAATTTAAATTTTAGAAATATATATATTTCTCATTTTAGAAGGTGATTTTAGTTTAACATGGAAATTGTTTGTAACTACTCAATAAGTAGTTATAATCATTTTGTCTCTTGTTGTTGCTGTTGTTATTTGCTGTTAAGTCACTTGTGACTCACTACATCCCTATGTAAAACAGCTCTGAACCCTGCTTTATCCTGAGCCAACATTATTGTCACTGACACATCAACCTCCATAACCCCAGTCACTGAGTAAATCCATCTCATTGAGGCTCTTCCTCTCTTGTGCTGTTCCTCCACTCTCTCAAGAATGATGTCTTCTCCAAGGACTGGTCCCTCCTTTCAACATGCTCAAAGTATTTCAGACAGAACTTCAGAATCCTTGTCTCTGAGAAGTAGCCTGTTTTCACCCTCTCTAGGATAAACCTGTTTGTTCTCATAGCAGTCCATGGGATATTCAATATTTCAGCACCACAGCTCGAAGATTTTTTTTCCTCTTTCTATCATCCCCAGTCATTGTCTAGCTTAAGAATGAAAGTTGATTTTCTTTTTATTGGAACCTTCATCAGATTTATTTCTTCAATAGCAAAAAAATACTTGAGACAACATAAACTATTAAATAAATGTTAGGAAACACTGGGGTAGAAGAGAGGGCCTCTGGCCAGGACAGAACACCTAGCTCCAGATAAGTGCAAGTCTCCCAGTGGCCTTTAATATGGGATAGAGAAAGCTCCAATGTGTTTGGCTGTACTGGCTTGAGAAAGCTCACCACCAGGGAAGTTGGTTGTTGCATCTGTTGAGCTGGAAGTAGTCCACATGAGGCTGAGGTTCTTCTAACCATGTCCCACGTCTATAAACACACCCTATCCAGTCTTGACTCTGTTTCTCTCCCAGAGAGGTATGTCTCCATTGGGCTTACCCCCATCAGGGTGTCACTGTTAAGTTGCCAACGAAGAGACGACAAATAAATATATATTGTTGTTTTGTACTGTAGAGTTGGAACAAACTCATAGTTGACTCTTCAGTGGGTTTTCACAGGGAATTAATTTCATGGGAGGAGATGAGCCATCCTTCTCCCAAAGAGCAGCTGGTATTCTCAAACTGCATGCCTTTAGGATTGCAGTACGGTTTCTTACCACTAGACCACCAGAGCTCCCCCTGAGATAAATATGTAGGTATATAATTATCTGTATATATGTATAAGTACACACACACATACATAAAAGAACATCTTCTAGATATGTTAATAACCTTGATTATGAGTCACAGTGGTAAGTTAATCTGATATACTCACTAGATATTCCAACGGTTACTATATTGAGGATTCTAGAAGAACTAATCATTCTTTAATAAGATTTGAACAACTTTCATCAAGTTAATCTACCATAATGAATACATTAAAATATTTTATGAAATCCCCAGTCAGCTCTGGTTAATTAGTATTTTCTGTCTGGACTTCTACACTAAAAAAGATACTGATAGTGTAGTCAGGTTTCAGAAGAAAGGGTAGAATGGGGATGAATATTCTTAAGAGCAATCTATATGGTGTTAACGCCCTAATAGTGATCATATTCGTCTGGCTTTTGGCATCTCTGATTGCTGGCCCCGCCCTCTACTTCAGAGACGTTGTGAAGCTCAACAACCACATCTTGTGCTATAACAGTTTCCATGAGAATGACCCTGATCTCAGACTGATGAGGCACCATGCTCTGACCTGGGTGAAATTCATTGTTGGGTACCTCTTCCCTTTGATAACCGTGAGCATTTGCTACTCATGTCTCATCTTTCAGGTGAAGACGCGAAACATCGTGATCTCTAGTAAGCACTTCTGGACAGTCTTGGCTGTGGCCATTGCCTTTTTGATCTGCTGGACTCCTTATCATCTGTTTAGCATTTGGGAGCTCATGATTCACCACAACAGCTACTTTTTCCAAGTGCTAGAGGCCGGAATACCCATCTCCACCACCCTGGCCTTCCTCAACAGTTGCTTAAATCCCATCCTGTACGTCCTCATCAGCAAGAAGTTCCAAGTTCGACTCCGTTCCTCTGTGGCTGAGATCCTAAAGCACACGCTGTGGGAAGTCAGCTGTTCAGGCACAGTGAGTGAACAGCTCAGGAACTCCGAAACCAAGAACCTGTGTCTCATGGAAACCGCCCAGTGAGCTGTGACTTACACACGAATCAGCACGAGGCTCTGTGTAGCTCCTGGAACAGATGATTTCAGATTCAGTTGTGTTCCCAGCTTACAGAGCTGCTCTTCAGTGATTCACTTTATTGTCATCCTGGTGGTTTGTTGGGGGTTTTGGGGTTGTTGGGTTTTTTGGTGCAGACATAAAACTTAGCAAGGCTCATTATAATTTTTTTGGGTTTCCCTTGGAGGAAAAAAAACCCAAAAACAACACTCAAAATTGAAGACTCATCTCTTTTTTTATAACAATGGTTTGATTTTGTTCACTTATCACTGCCATTAACAGGTTAAACCATTCATGAAAACATTTTAAAATTATTTATACTAATTTATTTTCAAAGTTCATAACACTGTTTTTCACACCAGATATTTCCTTTTTCCTAAAACCACCCCATCCTCCACCCATCAAATTGTGCAAACATATGATTAGCTCCCGATCCTCACCTTCTCTGCTTCCCCTCTACCCCTTTTAGATCCTCAGACACATATTACTAGTTAATTATTTTTACAATAATGGTCTTATACAGTATTTGTCCTTATGAGATTGATTTAGTTCAATTAGCGTAATGCTCTCTAGTCCCTCCCAAGATAGGCAGTGATTTTCAAAATCATTGCTCCTTCATGATGCATGGTATTCCAACATGTGAATGTACCATACTCATCTCTTGTAACCAACTAAATTACTATTCTGTTGTTGCTGTGTGCTATTGAGTCAGAACCAAATCATAGCTGACTCACATCATACAGGAGGAGATTGCACATTTTCACCCACTAAACAGTGGGTAAATTTGAATCAGAAGCCTTTAGTATTATTGCAGTGCAGCTTCTTACCTCTAGGACATCAGAGCTCCCTTTTTGTTATATTTCTTTGAGTCCCTTGTGAGTCATAACGACCCTATGTGCAACAGCTCTGAACCTTGTTCTATACTGAGCCATTCTCAGTGACTCTGACACACCTAATCCCACTGTCACAGTTACTGTGTCAATCTATTTTATTCGGGGTCTATGTGTTCTCTGTTGTGTTCGAGTGTACATAAGATTTTTGAAAGCCTATTATTTTAGAAGTGGATGGCCAATTTTTCTTCCTAGTCTATCTTAAGCAGCATCTGACAGACAAGCATTTTACAGAAAGGAGCAGATGAAAGAGATTTAGAAGTCAGTGTTACTCCCGCAACTCCCCCTTTGCAACATGTGTCTTGACCTTTCCTTTTCCCCATTTACCTAGCATCTCCTTCCACTTCTGCCTACCCCGTTCAACACCTCCCTTTCCCTAGCCAACCCTTGATAAATGGCTTAGGTTTCAATTCACTTCTTATGACACCTAATGTCTTAAACTGCTGCTGGTATCTCACGCTACTGCTGTTCTCTCTTGAGTTTAGGAATCCCTAAGTACAAATTCCAGATACTAAGCTTAGGGAAGGATTTATGTTACAGACAGTCCTGAGGAAAAGTCTTTTGCTCTTCAGCCTCTGCTCCAGGACTGACTTCTAGTGACTTAGTACCTTTGTTCTTCCATTTGAAGCAAACTGCTGTCACAGTAGGAAAATTTCCCAGGAGATGGTGATGTTTTCTCTAGATCTGGTATGCAAGTATTATTTTCTCAGGCCTGAAGCTGGTTATATATGCAGGCCTCATGTTGCTTGAATACCCTGATTGTTGGCTGAGCTAAATCTCCCTAGATAAAAGAAATAATTGTTCTACAACATTCTATGATTCTACAATTATTGTACACATTATACAGAAAAAAATCATTTTTTTCTTTAGGATATTGTTTTTGCTTAGTGCATAGTTAAGAAATGTCTATTTAATCAATAAATATATGTTGACATAAGTAGTGGGGCTATTCTGGAGTTTAAATCTCAAATGCATCCTCACTGGGTTAGCCCTCAGGCCAAATACATTTGGGTAAGATCCACATCTTAAATCGAGTTGGAATGATATATTTTTTCCATTCTAATGGACTGTATAATTTAATTCATTTAAAAAAAAAAAAGCTCTGCTTGCCAAAGGCAGCTCTTTAATTTAACCTTATCACTTGATTTGGAAAGAGCTTTCTTTCCTGAATGAATTCAGCTTAATTTCTCCTGAAATTATAAGTGAATGACAAATATGTAGATGGCAAGAGAGAGAGGGGGAAAAATAATCATGAGCTACTACAAAGTGATGATTCAGAAGAAAACAATCAAGAAATCTTCAAAATTTAAAAAAAAAAAAGTCTCCTGTTATAATACATTGGGAGGAAAGAGTGGCATCCATTTCCTAAATAACATGCCTCTGGAAACGCTATGAACTTTGATAAAGGTTGATAGTTGTAGAGGGGCTTCAAGCCTTTTGTTCATAGGGTCACTATGAATTGTGCTCAACTTGAAGACAATCAAAAAGAACACAGTAATAAGAATTGCCACTCCTGCCTACTGCCAGTGATTTGGAGTATTTCTTCATGCATCTGTATGTCATTCAAATACCTTCCTCTGTAAAATTCTTTCCATGTCTTTTGTCCATTTTGCAATTGGGTTTTCAGTCTTGTTGTTTTTTTTTTTGGAGGCCCAGGAGTGTTCTGTAAATTTCTGTTATAAGACTTTTGTCTGAGATGGTATTACCAAATGTTTTTCTCAGTCTGTAGATTTTCTTTCCATCCTAATGAAAATGTTTTAGATGCACACATGGATTTACTCTTTAGAAGGTTCCATGCATCCATTTTATCCTCTTCAGATTGTGAATTTCTCATTGTGTTTGACAGGCTCTTTATACCTTGGACCAGCAATTCTAAGCATGATCCTTGTTTGTCTCTTATGAATACTATGGTTTGGGGCTTTACTCCCAGGTTTAGTTGTTTTTGTGTGTGTATGGTATGAGATGTGAATCCTGTTTCAGCTTTCTGCAAATGGAAGTCCAATTTTACCAGCACCATTTGTTGAAGATGTTGTCATTTTCCCATTTGATAGCTTTGATTTTCTTGTCAAATATCAGTTGACCATAGATAGCTGGGTCTATATCTGGGTTCTCAGTTCTGTTCCATTGTTCTTTGTGACTTTCATTGTACCAATACCATGCTTTTTTGGTTACTACTGCTATGTAGAAGGCTTTGAGATCAGGGAATTTTATGCCTCCAATCTCATTTTTGTTTCTCAGAAGTATTTTACTTATTGGGGGTCTCTTGCCTTCCAAATAAATTTGATAATTTACCTTTCAATCTTCTTTAAAAATGAATTTTGTGTCTGTATTGGAATTGTATTGATCACGTAGATGGCTTTTGGTAAGATTGTCATTTTCACAATATTGGGTCTTCCTATCCATGGACAGGACATATTTTTTCCATTTCTTTGGACCTTTTATTGTGTTTTGCAGAAATGCTCTGTAGTTTTCTTCGGATAGATATTTTGCATCTCTAATTAGGTTCACTCTTAAGTATCTCAATTTAGCCAACCACAATCTCTTTTTTGAGCAAACATCTATCTCTGTATTTTTTTAAAAAATGAGAGCAACCTAAGCTCATGAAATTATTTGGTATTTTCCTACAACTTTTGTATTACATTTATATTGAAGTGATGAATAAAACAGAAGTCATTCCCTATTTTTAATTAAAATATATTCCATGAGCATTGCGTTTAGCACTGTCATGTGGAAATGAAAAGATTCCATCGTATTCTAGAATAATTCTTATTTTAATGATTTTCTTTTGTGTAAAATAAGAGAAAATATATTGTTTGTTTTTCCCCTGAAAGAATAGTAGGATGATATAGATAATACATGAAAAGGATTAAGCAAGAATGTTAAAAGGATATTAACAAAAAGGACAGCATCTGCAAGGCATTGACACAAAAGAACACCAAGGTATATTCATAAACAAAATTCTTCAAGGAAAGTTGTAGCTATTACTTATATGAGAATATTTAGTAATGGGCACTCCATGCATTTTATGTGATGGACTTAGCCAAGGTGAATCTCTCTTATTCAAAAGTATAAGACATCGAGGTGGGGGGGGGGGGAAAGAGAGAAAATAGTTTAAAAAACATACATATAAATTAATCATGAACCTTGAACCAGAGCATGAACTAGGGAATTATCATTCTAGTTTTACAGGCTGGATGAGGAGGATTGATGGGAAAGGTCTTTCAAATATATACTTTGTAAAACAAAAAAAAAAAAAGAAAAAAAACCCACAAATATATACTTTGTCCCTAATGAGTAAGGTTTAAGGTTTAAAAACATAGACAATGAAGATAAATTAATAGCAAGTGATAGAACTGAAGCATAGGAATCCAGTTGCCAGTCTTTTACTAATTCTGGCAAGTTTTTAAAAAATGTTAAAATAATGTGCTTCCAGAAGAAGCACTATGAAATAAAAAATGTTAGCCTCAATTAAATAAAGTAGATTAAATAGAATGATAAAATTAACTAGATTCTGCCCTTGATAACTGACAAGTTTTTCTATAATTAAATAATTTTGAAATAAAAATGTGATAGAATTTCAGACTCCTGTAAGTTTTATATAGGTGGTGATGTCTAGCTAATAGTAATTATCTAGATTGTATATGATAAATCCCTCAGGATAATTACTAGATAATTACTATTAGCTAGACATCACCACCTATGTAAAACTTACAGGAGTCTGAAATTCTATCACATTTTTATTTCAAAATTATTTGATTATAGAAAAACTTGCCAGTTATCAAGGGCAGAATCTAGTTAAATTCATCATTCTATTTAATCTAGTTTATTTATGGACTGCTAGGAAAACAAATAGATTTGTCCTGGAGAAGGTTAAACCGGGTGGTTCCTTGGAGGAAAGGATTCTGAGGCTCCGTCTAACTTACTTTGGACATGTAGTGAGGAGAGACCGGTCCTTGGAGAGGGACATCATGCTTGGGAGGGTGGAGGGACGGCACAGGAGAGGAAGGCCAGGGCTATATCTATTAGGTGAAACATCTCAATTGGTATTCTATTAATTCAGTGACTTGGATAATTGGGATG